AATACTTTTTCGCGCAATAGAAACAATTGCCGAACATATACATTTGACTATAGTATAATACATTGATCATTTTTGTCTGGCGCATATTTGCGTCCATAATCTATATCGATAGCTTTCGCTGGACGCATATGTGCGCCCATAGCACTCAAAGGGTTAAATTTTCCTTTTTTTGTTTTGTTTTTTTTTTGTTTTTTAATATTTACTTAAAATCTCTTATAATTGCGCTCTTTCACGTTTCTTTTTTTTTTTTTTTTTTTTTTTTTTTTTTAGTGAATTACAAGAAATCGATGGGCAATTAACTGCTCTCATCGAACAAGCGAAACATGGTGCATCTAGTATGGACGACAGATCGACAAGTCCTACTCCAGATTTTAGCTTAGATTCACTTAATATATCTCAATGTCTTGAAGTAGTTCAAATTTTATTGGATGACTGGAATAAAGCACGTCATCAAAAATTAGTTGATATTGCAAGGGAACTTACTGTAAGACATATGGTAGCCAATGAAAATGATCCTGATTCTTTAGCTTATGCTCATGCATCAAATCATTTAGAACAATTTGCGATTAAAAGGGTCAGGTATGTAGAAAGAGTTTGATTACAATTTTTAATTCTATGGTATACAAATATAAATATATTTTTTTTTTTTTTTTTTTTTTTTTTTTTTTTTTGAATAATAGGAGTCATGGTAAAGATATGTCTATAGAAGATAATATTGTGGAAGAAGAAAATGATTGTGGATGTCAAGAATGTACAAAACCTTCAACATCTCCAATGGTAAATATTATTTATTTTTGTGATTATAATAATAATAAGAAGAAAGAGAGAGAGAGAGAGAGAGAGAGAGAGAGAGAGAGAGAGAGAGAGAGAGAGAGAGAAAAAAAGAGGAAAAAGAAGAAGAAGAAAGAAAAAAAAAAGAAATTATGGCATATTTTTTAATATATTTATTTTTATACAAAATGAAAATTTTTTTTTAGAGTGGAAATGGTCGCATTGGAAATATTGAATTACCAACGGATAATGTTAATTTCTTTCCTATAATCGCTAATGGATTAATGAGTAAGTGAATTTTTTTCTTTATTACTTAATAATAATTTTTAATAAGGATAAAATATAGTTCCATCTGACTTGTTAATTTTTACAGAACACATTATTAACTTTACCGCTACTAATAGCAGTAATACTGAAATTCAATTAAAAAAATTATTCGAAGAAATGAAAGATACAATTGGTATTAAAGAAGAAAAAGATATTATTTTAAAGAATGTAGATGATAATATTGATACACAGCCGTCTATTCCGCAACCTTGTCAATGTGTGTATCTACATGCAAAAGAAATAACTGAAAGGAAGAAAGGAACTATAGAAGATCCTCCTTGTCCTTGTCTTTTAAATTCAAAAAGAAAATGGGACATTTGTCCGTGTTTAACAAAAAGTTAGTATTAATTGTATACAATGACAATTGTTAATAATATATTGTTATATTAATTTTTTATTTTTATACAGTTTTAGAAGAGCCAATGATTACTAATATTGATCCTAAAGAGATATCATCATCGAATTCAGTTACAATTAATTGTAATCAAGAATTAAATAAACCAACCGTTAAAACGGGATCAACACAATCTATACAAACGCAAACAAGGCATTCCACAACTCAGACACCTAATTCAAATCACAATCGTATTACATTTCCAAGTAAGTAGAAATATATTTTATAATACTTCATCGAAATATTTGTCATTGAAAGATATTCAAGGATATATTTTCTGTTATGAAAGGTACAACCACCACCACTCATCCATATACTCATAGATCTGTTTCGGATGTGACAAAAAGTACAGTGCCTTCGCACAAACTTCATACCCACAATAATCATAATTCACACGCTTGTCATAAACAAACAAATGTTGAACACATCAAGAGGGTATCGTGTAATGATCGTTAGTACAAATGAATAATTTTTCTTTTTTTTTTTTTCTTTTTTTTTTTTTTTTTTTTTTCTCTTTTTTCTTTTTCTCTCCCTTGACATAGATAGATCATCTTTCCTTTTTAATTGTAGTAACAATATTTGTTACAATTTAATATTACAGTAAGTTCCGGAGACGGAGATTGTTCGGATTCTGCAAGTAGTCAAGAGGATTCTTGTTCAACTAGTAGTTCAGCGCAAAGAGATTCTAGTAGACACTGCGATTGCTGTTATTGTGAAGTTTTTGGTCATGGGGTTGTAAGTTTGAAACATTTATTAATGATTTAATAGAACTTTAACCCTTTGAATGTTGAATACTCGTGACCTATGCAATCCGTACGGACGTCGCACAGCTGGCGCTGAAGATCGCCGGGGACTGAATACTTTTTCGTGCAATAGAAACAATTGCCGAACATATATATTTGACCATAGTATAATACATTGATCATTTTTGCCAGGCGCATATTTGCGTCCATAGTCCATACTGATAGCATCTGCCGAGCGCGTATTTGCGTCCATAGTTTATATCGATAGCATTCGCTGGACGCATATGTGCGCTCATAGCACTCAAAGGGTTAATCCTGACAAATTTCTAATGCAATTGGAAATTGTTAACGATAAGTCAATCAATTGATTTATTATGAAATAATAATTCTTTTTTTCTTTTTTTTTTTCTTTTGTCTTGTTTTTTGTTTTTTTATTTCTTTTTCCTCTTCTTTTTTTTTCTTTTTTTTTTTTTCTTTTTTTTTCTTCTTTTTAGCCATCCGTAGCACCAGTTAGTAGAAATTATAACGAAATGAGAGAACGTTTAAGACAAATATTGACGAAGAAAAAAGCAAAAAAATGTAAAGCCACTTATAGTACGCCAAAAAGTTTGGTAGACGTGGCATTGCCACTTTCCAACGTCAATCAAGAATCAAAACCAATTATGAATAATTTGGCGTTAAGATCTAATACACCTGTTCCGACAACATTGTCGGATGATCCAAGGGATCAAAGAAATTTAGAAGAATTGTTGGACTTCATTGAGGGTAATCAGAATGGGAAAAAGGATAATAATAAGAAGGCTGAGAAAAAGGCAAGACAGAAGCAACGTAAGGTTAGTGTAAATTATATTAAAATAATGTTGTATAAATTTTGTTTTCTAATGAAAAAGAAAAAAAAGGGAGGGGGGAAAGGGAATAGCACTAATTTTTAGAATTTTTTTTTTTTTTTTTTTTTTTTTTTTTTTTTTTTTAATTCGCATTTTAATATTTATTAGTTGCAAGAGAAAATGAAAAAGGACAGACAGGAGGCGGAGAAGCAGAAATTAATTGAATTACAAAAAAAGACGCCGGAAGTTACGATCACCGTTGTCGATTCTCAGAAACCAGTCAATCAAAGATTTTTACCACAGTGTAATCTTCCTGAGGTCTCGATATTACCTACTTCCAATCCAAATGCATTATCAAATGGAAAGCATATAAGTAATAAGAAAAAGGACAAACAGGAAATGTCAAATATTAATGGAAATAATTCTTGTAGTAATAAAGTAAAAATTTCATCTTCGGTAACTCCTGCAAATTTGAAAATGAAAAGTATATCGAATCCTGATAAATTAGAACAAATTTCTAATTCTACTCAAGCAACGAGTAAAATCGATATGAAAAATGACAAACTTGATTTTAGTAATAAAGCTTTTAAAGGAACGACAAATTTAAATACGTTGAATACAAAGGACAATGCCAGTCATATCGCAGAGAAATTGGCAGCAATGGATTTGACGGATAAACAATTGACTAAAAAAGAAAGAAAAAAATTAAGAAGAGAAATGAGAAAACAAGAGGAGGCCAAGATGAATGCCGCCACTTTAGAGCCGGCCATTCAACATACAGAAAATCAACCACAAATTGTTACGATTAAAAGAATAATGGAATCTAATAGTACAGAACCAACTGTTACAATAACATTAAAAGGACAAACTCCTGCTGAGGATAAAGTTTTATTTACTTTGGTAAATGGACAAACCAAGGAAGTACCTTTACATAAATCCGAACAAGAACAAAATTTATGTAATAACAACAACAACAATAATAATAATAATAATAATAATAATAATAATAATAATAATAATAATAGTAGTAATAATAATAATAATAATAATAATAATAACAATAATAATAATAACAATAATAATAATAATAAAAAGAAGAAAACGAACAAAGCATCTACCAATAACGAAACTATACAAAGTAATAAATTACAACAAGCCAGTAGTACAAAACAACAGCAACAAGTTAAAATGTGCGATACGAAACATACAACAAAGTATCAAATCAGTAACAATGAAAAGTCTAAAGGTATTAAACAAACCGAAGAACGTAAAATGCAACAGCAAGGTGTTACAGATGTTAAAACAACAAAGTCTAAGAAGGATAAAAGAAATTCTGAAACCAAAGAAAATGTCTCCCAACAACAACAACAGCAACAACAACAACAACAACAACAACAAAATCTAACGAGTAAGAGTAAAAATTTACAACAGAATACTCAATATAAAAAAACAAATAGATCTGTTAATATTACGCAAACTACGGATATACATAAGTGTAACGTTACACTTGAACCAGTTATAAAATCAAAGAATCAAAATGAGAAAGTTAATGACAATGTTATAAATAATAAACATAAGAAACTTGTAAATATAACTAATACGAATAAATCGATGAAGAATGAATCACAAAAGTTACAAATAAAGGGAAATAATAATACGATTAAACAAGGAACGTTCTCAGCAATACCGTCTACGTCGGATGACATAATAAATTCATCGTTGAGCTCTCAATTTAGGGATATCAGTTTAAATACAAAAATTAATATAGAAAATCTTAAATTACCACCTGGCATAACGATAACGAAGGTTGACGTACCAGTTAAACCACTTCCTATTAAATCAGCACCAATGCCTAAGCCGGTTAATCCACCAAAGCAAACAACGATAATAGCAGCTCCTATGAGCGGAGTACAATCTAGTTATGCTAGTCCACAAGCT